AAAGTCTTATTTTGTGACTTTCATCGATGATCACTTTAGAAAAGTATAGGTCTATTTCTTGAGACACAAATCCGAAGTGTTCGAGATGTTTAAGAAGTGGAAAGCTATGGTGGAGAATGAAATAGGTTTGCAAGTAAAGAAATTGAGATCAGATAATGGCGGAGAGTACGAACATGCTGATTTCAAAAAGTTTTGTTACCGGAGTGGTATCAAATTGAAAAGGACGTTGCCAGGAACACCACAACAAAATGGTGTGGCCGAACGAATGAACCGGACATTGACAGAGAGAGCCAGAAGCATGCGGTTACATGCTGGTTTGCCTAAACAAATTTGGGTTGAAGTTACCAACACGACAACATACTTAATCAATCGCGGGCCGTCATTGCCTTTGGAGTACAGGATACCGGAGGAAGTATGGAGCGGAAAAGAAATAAAACTTTCTCATTTGAAAGTTTTTGGTTGTGGCGCATATGTACATAATAGTGATCAAGCTAGGGGTAAGCTTGACCCCAAATCACTAAAGTGTACTTTCATTGGATATGGTGGAGATGAGTTCGGGTATCGCTTTTGGGATGATCAGAACAAAAAGGTCATCAGAAGTCGGGATGTCATATTCAATGAAAGGGTGATGTACAAGGACAGAGATACAGCGCAGTCCAGTGACATACATGATAATTCAACATATGTTGAGTTGGATGATACTCCAAGCAGTAATATATCAAAGCAGACAGATGAGAGTCCTCAGCTAGAGGAAGCTGTTGCGGAGACTCAAACTCCTATTCCTAGAAGATATTCCCGACCACATGTTCCAAACAGAAAGTACATAAATTTTTTGTACTTACTGATGCCGGTGAACCTGAATGCTATGATGAGGCATGTCAGGGAGATGATGCGATTAAGTGGGAGCTTGCAATGAAAGACGAGATAAAATCTCTTATCTCTAATCAAACGTGGGAGCTAGTTGAGTTGCCTGCAGAAAAGAAAGCCCTACACAATAAATGGGTCTATCGAGTCAAGGAGGAACATGATGGATCAAAGAGATACAAGGCGAGATTGGTGGTCAAAGGCTTTCAACAGAAAGAAGGAATTGACTACATAGAGATTTATTCTCCAGTAGTAAAGCTGACAACAATTCGATCAGTCTTAAGTATTGTTGCAACAGAGGGGTTGCACTTAGAGTAGTTAGATGTGAAAACTGCCTTTCTCCATGGTGACCTAGAGGAGGAGATATATATGCAGCAACCAGAGGGTTTCTCAATCAAAGGAAAGGAGAAGCTCGTGTGCAAATTGAAGAAAAGCTTGTATGGCTTAAAACAAGCTCCGAGACAGTGATACAAGAAGTTTGACGGATTTATGCAAAAAAATGGCTACTACAAGTGCAATGCTGACCATTGTTGCTATTTTAAGAGGCTCGAGTCCAGCTACATTATTTTACTGCTTTATGTTGACGACATGTTAGTAGTGGGACCAGACATGAACGAAATCCAAAAATTAAAGAAGCAACTGTCAGCAGAATTCGAAATGAAGGACTTAGGTCCAGCTAAACAAATTCTAGGGGTGAGAATTTGTAGGGACAAGCAAAAAGGCACTTTGCAGTTATCCCAGACCAAGTACATTTGTCAAGTTTTGCAGAGGTTCAACATGAACAATGTAAAGGCAATTAGCACACCATTGGCTAACCACTTCCGTCTATCAAACGACCAGTCTCCAAAAACAGAAGAAGAAAGAAACTTCATGGCTAATATTCCATACGCCTCAGCCATTGGAAGTTTAATGTATGGCATGGTCTGTACAAGACCAGACATTGCTCATGCAGTGGGAGTTGTGAGCAGATTCATGATAAATCCAGGAAAACAGCATTGGGAAGCAGTGAAGTGGATATTGAGATATCTACAGGGTACTGTTGATAAATGTTTGTGTTTCAAAAGAGGTGAGTTGGCACTACAAGGCTTTGTAGATGCAGATTTTGCTGGCGAGGTTGATCACAGGAAAAGTACCACCGGTTATGTATTCACAGTTGGTACTATTGCAGTGAGTTGGGTTTCGCAAAAATAGAAGATTGTTGATTTATCCACTACAGAAGCAGAGCACGTGGCAGTAACCGAAGCTAGCAAAGAGATGATTTGGTTACAAGGTCTGTTGACAGAATTCGGTTTCAAGCAGGAAAATAATATTTTGCATAGTGACAGTCAGAGTGCTATACATCTGGCAAAGAATGCAGCATTTCATTCGAGAACGAAGCACATAGGAGTTCGTTATCACTTCATCAGATCTCTCTTGGAGGATGCAGTATTAACACTGGAAAAGATCCAGGGTAGCAGAAACTCAGCTGACATGTTAACGAAGACGGTAACTACGGAAAAGTTGGAGTTGTGTTCAACTTCAGTTGGCCTTCTAAAATGAAGATGAGGAAGGTGATCCACACCAATTTTACTAAAAAGGAACTGCTCACAGGATGTCTCAAGGTGAAGCCACATTAGTTTCCAAGTGGGAGCTTGTTGAAATTTTGGAGCCTACATTTTAGGCTTCACAATTTTTCTATGGTGGCAGACACATTTCCTCAAAAGCATGGCAGCAAATGTTGAAAAAGAATGTGAATGGAAAAGTTGAAAATCATGCAGCTGAATTTCTTGGAAGAAATTTTTTCCCATGCATTTACGGGAGCCAATTTTGTTGAAAATGGATGGATATGCATTTAATGAGGAAGGTGAAACTTTTCCTATAAATTGGAGCCAAAGTAGGAGGAAAGAGGTGTGCCAAAACGTGAGCAAAAGGGAAGTGCAAGAAAATTGTGTAGAGTGAAAACACGCGAGATAGTGAGCAAGCACAAAGTGAGAAGCAGTTAAGCTTTCGTTTGTGCAGGAAATTAACGAGAGAAAATTGAGAGATTGTCTTTGCGTAGGCAAATAAAATACAGAGAGTGTATTTGTTGTATTTCTTTTATTCTCTTATTGATACAGTAAAAGAATTGGTGTGTGTTTGTGGACGTATACACTATTGCCGAACCACGTAAATTCTTGTGTCACTTGCACTTATTATTTTTTGCCACATTTATTTCTTCTCAGTTCAAATTATTTTTGCGTTCCACTGATCCTGGCAGAATTAGTAGCGGTCTAATTTCCTAACATTAATCATGTCCGAAACAAAACACAATAAATAATAAATACTTTCTTTTTCCCCAACTTACATAAGCATCATATCATACTGATGAAATCTGCTCATTTGGTGGCACAAGTCCTATTGAACTATGTGCATTTGACAAAACTGCTCACTCCTCATGCAATTTTTTGGCACCAAATTACTTGACTGATTAGCTAAACAATCCGTTGGTAATGTTGCAAAGACTGGCGAATCTGTTTACACTCTAAAGGCGACCCAGGGAAGAATTAACAGAGCAATTTCGGAATCTCTCAACGGGAGAATCATAAGTGCTAGTGAAGATGGTGTAATACGTATTTCGAATTTTGAGGTTAGAAAATGAATGTTCTCATTTTGATTGGTGTCTTATGATTTCTCTCTGCCCTTTTTAGAGAGAAAAATAACATGTAATAAATGCTATCTGTTGAAGATTTTGGCTTGCAATAAGTGTTTACTAACTTATCAGCACCTTGAGCTATATCTTACTGAGTTCATGCTATATTGCCTTCTGTTTTCTTAGTGGGAGAATCAAAATGATTGCAAGTTTGTCACACATAGTTGAACGAGATTGCATTCACACCTTGTCCTCGATATAAATATCCATACATACGAGATGATAAAAATTTAGTAGGATAGGCGTTGCCATTTTATTTCCTATTTGACTAAAATAAACCCTGTCCAGTGGACAAAAATATTGATAGTACACAAATTTCTTTCTTTTTTGATTGTGCATATTATTATATATATAAATATAACTTTTAAATTCATTAGAAAATTTAAACTTTTTATAAATAGAACTTTATTTATTCCCAGCTTTCTATCTATTTATACAATGTGAATCGAATCAAAAAAATCTCGTCACATAATCCCACGAAAGACAAAAAGAAAATCAGGAAGTGGCCCCCCAGGGCACATCCAAGTTAGCGGAACAATCACATTGGGGGCTCTGAAACCAAGCGTGGCGAGTTCGATTCCTGATTGGAGCAGCTAAGTGTTGTAATAACCAATGGAAGGGTTGGAGCAGTTTGGTGATGTAATAACCATGGAGGAGGCTCCCTTTGGAGAAGGAGTAAAAGTCATGTGGGAACCTGGGAACCAACAAGGACACAACCTGGGATTTACCTCCCTGAGCAGCTGAGGGGCCGGAAGTTCAGGGACGAGGATATAGTCTGGCGCAAGTTGGGACACCTCGTTAAAAAAAAAATGAAAATCAGGAAGTGATTTCCACGTTATTAATGTCAAAGTGGGGCCCATCGTGGCTTATTTTTTACGCAACTTATGAGAAAAGCATGCCGCTTCCTCTGACTTTCTTATCCCAAGGGCCAACTCTGCTCTTTATATTCAACTTCAATAGCTTATGAACTCCGTAATTTCTGTTTTGACTCTCATTGATTGAGATGAAATCGATATTTTTTGCATGTTTCAGAAATTTTAGACAATAAGGGGTATTCCACAATTTTTGGGCGATTTAGGGCAATTATGTGCCAAAAATGACACGTTTGGGGGTATTCCACAAAATAATCTAACATTAAGGGAGTATTATGTTAATTATTTTTATGTTATGAATTTAAATTATTTTTTATAAATTAAAACCAATATTAAAAATAGGGGTTGTACTATGTGTACACAATGACGTCACATGCAATAAAATATTCGTAGACCCTCTCCATGTAAGGAGTGTAAAGTTGTGTGTACACCACAATGTGTACACACAACATTTTTCTAAAAATAATTATTTCGCCTCCAATCTGGACGTGTCCGGTGTCCCCTTCTTATCCTACCTTTCGAAAATTCTAAATGGATGGGACAGCGAAGGGCCCGCCTGGTCTGTCCTCTTCTCCGACTTGAGGTCCGTAAAATAATATAGGTTCAATATCTTGTAGGAATTTGTCCAAATAAATAATTTTTTTTTTCCAAATTCCAATATGTCAAATCCAATAGCATCGTACAAAGACCCGTTCGAAACCTTATAAAATATCCGCTGGACTTTTCAACCATTAGAAGAAAAATGCAATAATACTATTTGTACAATTTTATCGACCACAACTGTCAACAACTGTAGTACAAATGTATATAAATATGATAAATCTTGAAAGGTTCTCGCATTGTCGTAGGAGATGGAGACATTAGAAAATATGCTTTTTGAAGCAGCATCTCAAGGAAATGTTGATACTTTGAAGAAACTGGTTCAAGAGGATCCAATAATTCTTGATAGAGTTATAGTTAATAGTTTCTCCGATACTCCTGTGCACATAGCAGCAATATTAGGACATAGCGACTTTGTGATGGAAATCTTAAGACGAAGACCTGAATTTGCACGAGAATTGAATTTATGTCAGTCATCGCCTCTTCATTTGGCATCAGCTAAAGGTTATATCGAGTTAGTTAGAGTTTTGTTATCGGCCAATCCCTTGATGTGCCTAGTTCGTGATAGAAATGGGCTGACTCCTCTCCATCTGGCGGCAATCAAAGGCCGGATTGAAGTCGTGAAAGAGTTGGTTCAAGCAAAACATGATGCAGCTCGAGTGATCATGGGTCAAGGGCAAACTATTTTGCATTTGTGTGTGAAGTACTATCAGATTGAGGCCTTAAAGCTTTTAGTGAATACCATTAGAGATCAAGATTTCACAAATTGCAAAGATAGCGACGGAAACACTATCTTACACTTGGCAGTGGCTGATAAGCAAGATGAGGTATGCCAATAGCTCTATTTTCATACTTGAATTCAAACGAACCCCTTTTTCTTTGTTTTATTTTTGAGAAGTAAAGGAATTTTTCATGTCAGATGTTTATACATGGAATTAACCATTTGGTAGAGATGATTTAGAATAAAAAACAAAAGAGAAGCTATAAGATTATTTACCAAACACGTACTAAATATTTTGAAATGTCTGCAGACTGTTAACTTTTTGCTTATGGAGTCTGCAACGGAAGTTAATGCTCAAAATCTTCGTGGGATGACAGCAATGGATGTTCTGATTCATAGTCGAAGAGATGTGAGGGATGATGAAATTGAAGAAACTTTGAAACGTGCTGGAGCATTTGGATCAATGGAAAAAAAATCATTAGTCCAAATTAATCGTAATATAGGTAGTCCAGGCTTGAATTTGTCCTTTGACCACTTTGATTTTTCCTCAAATGTGAAGGGGAACCGTAGGAAAAAGATGTTTAAACAGAAAGACGATTGGTTGGAGAAAAAACGAAGTGCATTAATGGTGGTGGCTTCTTTAATTGCAACCATGGCATTTCAAGTCGGAGTTAACCCTCCAAGCATACTAGTGCAAGATAATAAAACTGTTAACTCACAAAGTACTCTTGCATTAATACCTCAATCTTACGAGGTATTAGAATCTATTTTCATCCTTAATCATCTGAAATTATATGGACCATTCTTGATTGCTAATACAACAGGACTCATCGCGTCACTCAGTATCATATTATTGTTGATGAGTGATTTACCATTAAAGAGGAGATTAGTTATGGGAATTTTGATGGTGATCACATGGATTGCAATTACAGCAGTTGCATTGACTTATCTCATATCAATAATTGTAGTAACACCAGAGGAAGAAAGAGAAAAAAAATCATATGTTCTTGTAGTTGGGTTTGCAGTTGTTACATGGGTTGGCCTCATTGTTCTCCTACTCATTGGACACACGATTCGGTTGATAATCAAGATGATTAGGTTGATAATCAAGATGGTACGAAAGTTAATAAAATGTTCGAGCCCAAAAGAAAGGATTCGAGGCTCGGGAATTCCAAGTCATGGAGCTGTTTAAGGAGTTGTTATGCTATGTCTAGTAAGTTGGAGAAAACAATATTGAACAGTAATAAGATTGAAACTGTTTACTCTAGTGTCTAGTCATCTTCAGTACTATAAATAAAACACACCTTAATCATTTGCATTATAAATATTTAATGTATGACTATGTTGTAATTTCATTCCAGTTATTGCATATCACATAAGGTCTATGTGATATACAAATATAATCTTATTTTAATCCATCAGTAGAATATAATTTCTCTCCATAGACCATATTTTCTTTATTCTAACATGTATTCAACCATCTCGTTTAAAAACTTTAGCGACTAAAGAAGGATCATACATGGTTATTTAATCAACTCTCTTTTAATACATGGACGACATCAATATTTGATCTTAGGTTGTTACCATATCAAATCAATTCTCCAAGTTTAGAGGAAATAGTGAAAATGTAAAGGTTGGACTATGTGAAATTAAGAAATGGACAGAATCTGCCTTCAAATTTTATTGCCGCCTGGTTTAGTTTCATTCATCTTTTCGCACCCTTGACCACATCCATTCATTTCCAGATTTTTACCACACTTCTATGACATGTATGGGAAGGTAATCATGTCCTAAATTCATCATAATTACAGGATTCTCAGCCTCAAGTTTAGTTCTTTTTACAGGACTTTGAATCAGGCAACTTTGACTGTCTTTGGTTTCTATTGTATTGTCATGTAATAAATCGAGTTCTAACCTAACAAAACTTATTACCTACTTATAAATCTTATATAAGAACATTCAAGGTGATCCAGTCCTCGACCAAGTGATCATATGATGGTGATGAAAGGTAAAGCTTTCCAGAGCAGCAGGACTAGCAGTGCTCGATATAGGGGTTTGCCATAGCTAAGGCAGGTCAGTAGATAGTGGGATGACTGAATGTCATCAAGGATACTCAAGGAGTTTTTCTTGGGAGACAAAGACAGGATTTTTGATGATGATTCAGCTGAAAGATCAGATTGTAGTTGGGAATAGAAGTGAGTGAGATCAAAGGACATACTTATTTGAAAAATAATCGATGCTGTAGGAAGAGAAGAGGAAGGCCAAACCCTTGCTAGAAACATGCTCATAAGAAGCAACACTTCGAGAGATATAAATCTTGTAAGCACTGGATCAAGGCAATGATATCCATGATGATTTCCTGTTGCTATCACAGGTAAGATTATGATGTCTTAACAGAGGATAGCACGAATAATCAAACATTCTTCAGAAAGAATAGTCGAGTGCCTGAGCAAACAAATTAAAATAAAGAGTTGTTATCTAAGACCATTGTAGGTATAATCGCAGTCATAAAAGCATCATAACGAGAGCCTGACCTCCATAATATGTCTATGTTTCCTCTCATCTAAACCAAGAGGTATATGGATGTGAAGGCGTTGATAAATGCCACATATAGGAAGTAAGCATTGAAATTAATAATGAAGTCGTTTGATCGGGGTCGAGAAACAATTTCCAACCAAGGCTTTAAAACGCACATAAGTATGAAAAGACTTCGGACTTATTGCAAAGTGGATAGACCCATGTAAAATGAGAGAAGTCATCTCCAAACAGATTGCAATATCGATGACCTTCATGTGACATAACATAACACGTCAATCCTAAATATCTGATCGAACAAGTTCCAAAGGACACAGTAACTCGACAAGACTTTCCAAATGGTAACTTTTTAGATTATTCCAATGATCAAGATTGACAAACTAAATAAAAGATAAAGGACTCAAAAATAGGAAAATTAAAAAACTTGACTTACCCTTTCGTTATTTGTGAAGATGGATGTGCCAAACTTGCATGCCACGTATTAAGTTTAGTTAGTGTAAATACGGACAAGAGAAACATCGGATCGAGTCTTATAGTAAATTTATTTTTAAAAAAAATAAAATAATTTGGTTTATTAACGATAAAAAATTAGAGAGATTCAATTCTTATTCGGTTATTCGGTTCTAGGTCTAAAATTGAGAATCGAACTAAATCTATCTATTCTTGATTTAGATAATGTTTAAGTTTAGAAGAACTGCTAGGTTCAATTCGGTTAGGTCCGGTCTGATTCAATTCGGAGTTTTGTCCATTTCTAATTGTGTTTGTGTCCCAAACAAGATGTTAAGTAAAGAATTTTTAAATTCTGACCATCGAAATGAACTCAAAATGTCTAAATTAGTTGAACATAAGAACAAAAAAAATAAAAAAATATTGAGATTGGAAATGCAGCGCAGAAAGTGAGATTTGCCTACAATTAAAAAATATAAATATATATATAAAAAAACAAAAAAAATAAACACTTATCTCCCAGAAAGTGACGGAGCATGGGGGTATTTCGTAACTTTGAAAGTTGCCTTTTGATCCCTATATTATTCTGAATGTACTGATATAAAAATATTTTATTTTTAGATTTTTTAACTATTTTTTATGTATTTGAAGTTTAAAATACATCTTCTAAATACAATAAAAAGAAATTATTTTTTGGTTTAATTAAAATCTGAAAATTTTATATTAAATCCAGAATGTTTATTTGGAAACATTATTACTTAGTTGGTAATTATTACTTTTTAAATACTCCTTTTTTTTTTAGATTAAAAAATACTTTCATTTTTGATCGGTCCGTTTGTAAATAATTAAAGAAATTTTATTTTTGTAAAAAAATAAAAAGCAATTTCAGTGTCAAAATTTTTTTGATTTTAAATAATATCACGTTTTCCTGTTTGAGTGATGTTGGTCTTTATGTAATTCTGCAATCTATTATGACATATTCTCGTATTTGGTTTTTAGTCCGACGTGACTATATTTGATGCGTATTTTTAGCAGTTTAAAAGATAATACTAAAAGCCTATGGGCACAGAATATATCAAAAAGCTACATGCTTGTCAAAATTAATAAATAAATTTGGGGCACAATCTAATAGAAAACGTGAATACTTTAGGGACGTGTTTTTAGTGATAAGTAGAATATGAGAACTTTGATTTTACTTTCCCCTTTTCGGGACTATGTAACAACAAAGATTCAAGTGAGGTAGAGAATCTGTATTATTAAACTTAAATGATGTATCTTTTATTCTTCGATTATATTTCGAATTATTTTCGGAAAAATTTAATTTGTGATATCATGATACATATCATAATTGAATAAACGTGCATATTTATACTCTTATTGCGCATTATAAATTGCCTTATTGAATTACATGATATATGTTAATTCATGTATCATTATAGATGCTAAGGTCAATAAAGTGAATGAGATTTTTACTTAGACATATTAATCGAAAGATTTAGAGAAAATCTCACCTAGAACTATTTGTTTTACCGAGTGGAAGTTTTAAAGTTGGAAGAATTAATATAATTTTTTCTTAGAATTTATGGAATTTGTGTTATGAAATTAAGTTTATATGTAATGCCCCAAATTCTCAGAACCCGAAGCATAAAAAGAAAAAGTCAATCTTTCTTTGGTTCGACCCCTTTGATGTTAACCAAAATAATTTGTAAATGAGAAAAAATTTTGAGTTTGAAATATATAAAAATAATGAGAGATATTACTCCATATAAACTTAGACAATTATGACAGCAGGGAAAAAAAAAGTTTGGCCCAGCAAACGCCGACTAAAAATTATGAAATTTTAATAGAGACTAAAACATTCATATTTACACAACATATAAAAATTTGGGGTCTCGATGATAATGTTTGAAAGACGACAATGCTTTTCGACTACGCTGGATAGAAAATTCGGATCCAACTCAATGAGTTTACTAAAACGGACATAACTTTTTTCTCTAGGTAATGTCTTTGGGTAACTCCAAAGACCACTATTAGAAGACTTGTAAACCTTTCAATTTCCACTGATTTCACTTTAAGACATATACAGTAGCCCAAGTTATGCCATTTGAGTAGAAGTGCAGAATCTGGATATTCAATGCAGCAATACTTAAATTTCATGCATAGTCAAATACAACGTTTATAAATTATAGTCGACATGCAATGCTTATAAAATTAGACGAAATAGACGTTAAAACATTTTTAAAAGTGCCAGCTAGTTATTCATAATAGGTTTACATGAACTGAAAATTTTACTAGAAAGTTGAAAGCTTTTCAAATTGCCAAGCACTTACCACTATGCCAAACCACTACCAAGCCTCGAATCAACCTGTAAGATTTTTAGTAGGGTTGAGTACTACAAGTAATAGTTAGTGGGAAAGCACTAAAGTAAATGGTAAAAACATATATATTTTTTCAGAAAATCCAAACTTTGATCATTTGTGTCACCTTCAATCTCTTCATCTCTTATTTGAATCACCAAATGGTGTTTCCTTTATGAGTAACACAATAACACAAATGTTAACTTTGGTCATTAGTATCACTTTCAATCTCTTTCTAACTTTGGTCATTAGTATCACTTTCAATCTCTTTCTCTTATTTGAACCACCAAACGGTGCTTCTATCATGAGCAACACAATAACACGTTTAATGTAAATCGAAAACGAATAATTCTTACATCACTTACAAAAGTGCCAAAACATCCCTACCTTAATGCTTGGAGTTTGAATATCCTTTCGTGTCCAATAAGTAATAAAATTCAGCGTACTTTTACCCTCTTCTTCAGAAAATTTCAGATATAAAGGTTCATTGTTTCTATGGAAAAAAGGCAAAATAATTTTTATATATAGGTATATTAGTTTGGGAGAGAAAATGTGGTTATAGAGGTTGTAGGAGGTTTTTTTTTTCCTTAACAAGGTGTACGTGTATAAATTTGTAAGAAATGAAGTTTTGTGTTCTAAGATAAAACTTTAACCTAAACATATATATAAAATTTTAACACAACCGTAACTCCCTAGTAAATTCAAATGGCTTTTCGATTTAATCATTTAATTTCCAAACGTAAGATGTAAATTAAGAATTCTCATACTACATACACGTAACTTACATAATTTTAAAAGGCAATCATGTCAATGAGAATTAATAGAATTAATCACTATTAGTTAATAAATTTTAAATAAATTAAAGGGGCCTCTAGATTGGTCAAATCTAGCTAGTTCAAAATCATTTTCTCTTGAGCCCAAATTACTTTATTTAATATGAACTACAAAATGAGTATAATATTGACGTACAAAACTCCCATTCTAGAAAAAAAAAAAACCATTTTATATTATATATATAATTATATTAATAAAATAGTGAAAGATAACACTGCCATAGATTAGTCAAATCTAGCTAGTTCAAAATCATTTTCTCTTGAGCCCAAATTACTTTATTTAATATGAGCTACAAAA